ATTTTGGTAGTGTCTGATCCCGATATTTTACAAGACATTTTTATTAAATCGTTCTCGAACTTTCACAGTCGCCGTTGTTTTCCTCTCGAGGAGCACGAAGGGACAGATGTTCATGTTTTCAGTGCTCTCGGTCTTCGATGGAAGCGACAGCGTTATGTTCTCAATCCGACGTTTTCGTCAGGAAAACTCAAACAAATGTCATCACTGATTAATCGATGTGCCGATGCAATGATGAGAAAAATGGACGAAGAGTATAGCAAAGGTGAACCATTTGATATCAATGCTTTCTTCAAACGATTCACCATGGACACAATTTGGTCGTGTGGGTTCGGTATCGATACCGATATGCAAAATAATGCCAACAATCCGTATCTTTGGTACTCGCAACAGGTTTTTGAGGCAAGTGCTAGTAGTGGAACACTGATCATTTTGACTGTACTGATCACTGAATTAGATAAATTATGGCGATTTATCTTTTATTCGATAGACAAGATGCACCATTGGTTATGGAACTATATTCCGATGCTCAACCGATTCATTAATGACGCCCCTGGTCCATGGATTACGGAGAAGGCATACAAAATTATCGACAAGCGCCAACAGGCCGTTCAGGCCAGTCGAATAGATTTGATGCGGTTAATGCTCGAGTCTTTGTCGGATGAAGATCTCATTCAAGCAATTACCATTTAAAGCATAATCTATTCTTTTACGCTAGCAGAATGAACTCGAGATTTTCGTTTTGACTTCTTTTGCGTTACTTATATACTGTGTTTTCAGGATCACAGAGCAACATTTGAAAAAACTAAAGACAATGAGATTGAAGTACCTCTAATTCGAAAACTCACCAAACATGAAATTGCCGCTAATGTTGCCTTCTTCAGTGAGTATTATAATTTTTCTGTATGTTTTGCCACTGCTTTGCTTTGTATATTCCAGTGATTGCTGGTTATGAAACGACGAGCACAGCACTTAGCTACGTCACATATCTTCTGGCTATCCATCCAGTAGAACAAAAGAAACTACAAGAAGAGATCGATGCTCATTTCGACCTAAACACGGAAGACACTATGCCGACATATGAGACCGTATCTG